GGTGAATTCTAGTTCTGTCTTAAGCATGAAAGTTGGATGGTAACTTTAGGCCAATCCCCAGGAGACGGTGAATTCTAGTTCTGTCTTAAGCATGAAAGTTGGATGGTAACTTTAGGCCAATCCCCAGGAGATGGTGAATTCTAGTTCTGTCTTAAGCATGAAAGTTGGATGGTAACTTTAGGCCAATCCCCAGGAGACGGTGAATTCTAGTTTTGTCTTAAGTCTGAAAGGTAGACTTTTGGTCCAATCACCAGGAGGCGGTGAGTTCTAGTCCCACCTTAGGTATGAAAGCCAGCTGGGTGATTTTAGGCCAATCGCCAGGAGACAGGGAGTTCTAGTCCTGTTTTAGGCATGAAAGCCACCTGGGTGACTTTGGGCCAATCCCCCAGGAGGCTGTGAATTCTAGTTCCTCGCTGGACCCAAAAACCAGCTGGGTGATGTTGAACCAATATGAAAAAAATAAATAAAAATCAATGAAACAACACCAGCTGCTTAATACGAAAAAGACCATCTGTGTGGGGGTTTCACTAACATCCTACCCCATGCAGGAGATAAAAGCCAGGCCTTCATACCAAAATGCAATGCGACATTCAGACAAGTACAGTATTGGTCGGAGAGGCAAGGTCTCGGTGCTGTACACCAGCTGGGAACTGTTCATTTTGGTTCCAGGTTTAAAATATTTGGATCTTTCCCTGTGTTTATTTCTACCTTAGTCATTTTTTTCCCCCCGGCCTTGGAAAAATCACTGAATCCAAATAAGCTTTTACAGCTAGTCCTTGTCTTATCATTCATTTAGTGACGGTTCGAACATCACGGAAAGAAGTGACTGAGGGCCCTTTTTTCACACTTACAACTGTTCTGACCGAGCTCCCCAAAAATGACAAAGTTAACTCAATGATTCCTTTAATAGGAGCCCCAGAAAAAGGTTTCTCTCTCATTGCAGGCTAACAAGTCTACCCGTCAGGGAGAGGAATAGTTGTCTGCCCCATCTATTTATCTGCACCCCCTGCTTTTTATCCCTAGAGTTTGGGTGGGGCTTCGCTAGCAGTGGTGGCTCTTCCGTCCTGAGGACCGGCCTATAGATTTCCATTGCTCTCCTTTCCTCTGCCTTCTAGCATCCACACGTCAGGCACTAGACCCAGCTGTTCCTCCTCATCAGCCATCTCCAGACCTGGGGGCTGTTGACTTTCCATCTAAGGGCTGATGGACGGCCCAAACTCTGTTTCTCTCTCTCTTTCTCCCTTTCCCTCTCCCTCTCCCTCTCTCTCTCTCTCTCTCTGCCAGCTCCATTCCTCTTCCCACTCGGACTCTCAGGTTACCCCGATACCTTGGTCCTGACTTCAGTGCCCCCTCCTCCTCCTCCTCCTCCTCCTCCGATTTGGCTGCTGGAGGGGCCAGCAGCCAACATGCAGCATCCCCATGGCTCCGTGACCAAAATGTGGATCCTTGGCAACTGACGATCACTAAGGGAACTGTTGTAAGTTCGAGGATGGACCTGTAAGATAGTTGTGAAGTGAATCTGGCTTCCCCATTGATTTTTGGTTTTTTTTTATCCAAAAGTCACAAAAGGGGATCATGTGACCCCCGGGACCAGAGGTAGGATTCTACCGGTTTGGACCGGTTCTATAGAACTGGTTGTTACGATTCTGCGCAGTTCGGAGAACCAGCAAATTATGCCTCTGGCTGGCCCTGCCCCTCCCTGCCCAGTCCTTATCGCGCATGCGCGCCATCGCTGACTGCATTCTCCCCGCCCAGTCACTCCTTAAGGTATTCATTTATTTATTTATCCTCCCAACGATCAGCCCTTCCGACGATCGGCTGGGTCGGGATTCCCCCTCGCTGTCTTACCGCTTCGCCCAGGAGGCTTCCCTGAGGCCCAGGAGGCCAAAAAAAACAGAGCGGAGGGGGGGGGGGGGGGTGGTTGCAACAAAAAAAAAAAGACGGCCCCCCCCAACCAAACGGCCACGCACACCCAGCCACGCCCACAGAGCCGGTAGTAAAAAAATACTTGCGTCCCACCCCTGCCCGCGATGCTGCAACTGTCCCGATTACCTGCCAGTTGCCGGGACTCCGAATTTCGATCGGGTGGCAACGAGGATGCCGCGACGGCCGTTAAGCTTGCCAAAGGGGTCACAAGCCCCTTTTGAAACTTCGAGCGGTCACCGAACGAATGGTTGTAAGTCGAGGATCATCTGCCTTTTGAGAAAAACCAAGTCTAAATGTGCATTAGCGATACGTGAATGCTGTTCTCGGGCAGTTGTGATTCCTCCGCTTGAACTGGCTGATCAGAACATTCCAGAAATGGTTTCTATTTTTCCGGAAATAGGGTTTTTGGGGGTGCTAGAAGTGGGTTCACGGTCTCCCAAGATTAGAAGAACCGCATCCGGTGGTTTACCGTGCAAAAAAAATGCCTCAGCCATCCTGGATCGTCTGTTGGGAGGAGAA